GAACATATCAGGGCATTCGTATCGCGGCGACGCCACGAACCAGGAGGCGATTGAGAAGAGCAAGTTGCATCTCAGCGAGGTCATATCGGTAGCTGTCACATCAGATTCGGTTCGTGAGGCCGCGCGCCTCGATGATTTCATGGCTTTGGCTGCTCCATGGAACCGCAGCCTCCCTGGCCCCCAGGTTCGGGTGTCCAACCACGTGGGCACAAGTGTACCCTAGATCGAAGGGGGCCCCCATTTCCCCCAGGCCCTCTAGCACGTTGTGATTGCCCCGTTCCTCGTCACAGAGAGGGCGCTTGTGCTTGCGTGGTTGGGTGGCCGAGAGGTGGTCAGCGCTGGGACTGGAGCAGAGCGGTATAACATGATGCTCAGGGAGTGTCGAAACGCTGGCTGCGAGCATTGGATGACCCCACCACCAGAGGGCACGGTCAAGCTGCATGCGATGTGCCTCGGCCAGGGGCCTGACAACCAAGGGGCCACTGGATTCATAGAGAAAGTTGTTCTTCGGGATATGCCGACGACGATGTTCAGCGTAGCCTTCTGCTTTTTCCACCAGTACCACCTCGTCGTTCAAGATTTATTAAAGACGCTGGATGGATTCACGTGGGCGAATGCTGACTTCGGTCGGCCATATTTCTCGGCCCTGTCTATCATCTGCAATTGTTGGCGAACAGTTGGGCACCCCAAGAGGATCTACGACCGCACGAAGCGCGATCTCGGCATTGGTGCGGCAGAGATGTAAGCGAAGAAGATCCCCGCGCGAGCACTTAGAGGTCGTTGGGGGTACGCTGATGCAGTTGAGACGGTGATTGACACAGGGTCGAACGTGCTGCCCGCCGTGTTCTCCAATCTCTTCAAGCCAGCCGCGGCCGCCGCGAAGGGGAGGGCGAGGGCTGCCCCAGCGCAACCTGGCGGTGACTTGGCAGACGATGATCGTGAGCGGAAGAAGCAATATACACAGATTTCAGGTGCGTTGATGGGGTCTGACATGTTCCGAGCGACTCTCAGGGTCAGCTTGATTGCGAAGGGGCCTCTGACTCATTTCTTCATTTGGGCAAATAAGCGGCGACGCGAACTCTTCGTTGAACGGGCGGCCGCTGAGCGGGATGGCCATGCCCACTTTGGAGCAACGTTCCTTTCGGACCTGGTTGGGTACAAAGCTGCAGAGATTATGGCTGATATATCTGGGCTTCTTGCCACTGGTGAGTTCGAGCGAAAGTGGGCCAGCGTGTGGCAGCTCGTGGGCGGCGTCAACATCCAGGACGCGAGGGTTCTCATCATTTCGCTGGTGCTTCAATCGGCTTGTGCATGGAAGATGCGCTTTCTAGATAAAGTGGGGCGCTTTCCCCTGCGATTCCTTCGGTGTCTCGAGAATGGCCCCCGAGTTGATTAGGATGTCAGGCGGGGCGTTGCTGCCGACCTACTGGGTGCATGCGGCGGCTGTCTCCAGAGAGACCATAGCGACATTGCCGTGGAGGCGAGGGATCTGCATCTGGGCGAGTGGCGACATATGCAGGCGACTGGGACGTGCCCTGCAGGGCTCTTCAGCTTCCTCCTTACTTGGAGGGCCTTGCAACAGGGGGACACCCAGGAGGTCGAAGGGTGGAACAACGTGGTGCAGCTGATAGCGAGGAGGGCTCCCACGATCCGCTTACCATTGGCAAGCGCAAGGATGAACCTCAAGCATGGCGAGAAGATCTCAGTGGAGGAGTGTTGCTCAATTGTCCAAGCAATTGCCAATGAGCGGACATCGGAAAGATACCAACGCCGCTTCGAACCAATCCCACTCGATTGCCCGACATGCCACCCCTGCGTGGATGCACCCCCCGACCAAGTGTGCAGGTGCATTCGAGACCCGATAAGTAGGAAGAGCATGCACTTCGCGAGTTGTGCGCCAGATAGTGGGCTGTCAGTTGGGGCTCGACACATCTACGTCGTCCAGGAGGTCGGGGGGCACTTCTTAGGGGACGTCAAGCAACTGACTGAGGCTTTCACTGTGAACCTCTCGTACAGGAAGTCCTTCTGGGCAGTGGCAGGGGCGTTGTCTGTGCGCGATGGCGAACTTGAGTTTTTCCTGGGCATGCCTTTGCACGCCGAGAAGTTGCACGGACACTTCGACCGCGCAGTACGACGTACTCTGGAGAGGTGGCCCCGCAGTTCCATGCGAAGCATCAATGCGATCGGCGCTGGGAAGTTGGCAGTCCACTGGAAGTCTGAGAACGTTGCCATTGTTGACTTGGCCTCTCTCCGCGTTCTTCGCCTCAAGCCGGCCGCGAAGGCCAGGGTTCCACGTGCTGCTGGCGATGGCGCGCCTGGTGGCCACGCCGCCATTGGGGGCGCCGTTTCTGAAGGGCCTGGAGATGGGGGAGGCGATCACGAGGGGGCATCAGACGAGGACGGTGGGATCGACCTGGATGCCGCAATGGAGGAGATCGTAGGCGACGACTTCGGGGGGTTCGGCGTCGGCGAGGAGAGCGCCGACTACTCCGAGAATGCTGCTGGCGCGGCGGGTGGAAGCGATGCGCGAGATGACGTCGTTGAGGATTTGGACTTCGAGGATATGTCGGTTTCGGTTACCTGCCGCGGCCCTCCAATGCGCCGCGCTCCCCCGAATGGGGGCCCCCTTCCCAAATCAAGCACTGACCGCTGTTGTTGCCCATCCCACTACCATCTTCTTCTTGAGGCTGAGCGGGGGGGCGCGGCGCATGGGGGCGCGCGGGGGGTGGGCGAAACCGCCGGGCCCCGACCGTGCACCCCAGGGTCGTGCATTACATCTGCGCTGGTGGCATCCAGCGGGCACCTATTCTGGATCGGACTTGCAGGATGTGCGCTAGCAACGCGGAGCTGGTGGCCACAGCCAGAGAGCACGCGGCCAAGTGTGCGGAACACATCATACAGCATGGGGACATCTCGTTGGTAGAGGTGAAGAGGCCGCTGGACGAGGACACGTTCGACCACCAGGTGTTGTTCGTGAGATGGGAGAGGTGCCGAGGAGAGCCGATGACTGGCAGGCGAATCCGACTCGACCACAGGCGCGGCATCATCTTCAACGTTGCGCACCTTGTTGAGCTCGGGGAGTGGCCGAGCCCAACGACGAACATCCTTGTGCGGAAACTTCCCGTGGACATGGTAAAACGCAAGGGTGTCGACCGAGAGAAAATGCCACACTGGGCAATTGCTCTGCAGAGACATGCTCAGTGCCAGGAGTTATGTGGGCCTTTGGCTGTTACTGAGGCTGAGGTCGAGCACGATATGTCAAGCGTGTGTGTGTGTTATGCAAGTGTGCGTCAGATATCGACCCAGATACTCTTGTGTATGGGATTGAGTTGCCGACGTATGCGCGCACCCGCTGCACCTCCAGGTGGCGCGCGTGCTGTGCGAATTCGGTAGCTGATGCTCCCAATGCTGACTTGAAGAAATTCGTTTGCTTCTTTTGTTTGTAAGTCTGTAAGCCTCACACTGTGAGCCGCGGGCGAGACACACGCGTCGAAAGGAACGGTTGCGGGAGTGGAAGAGGGGGGAGAGGAGCACAAGGGAGAATATTACCGATGCAGATTCTCCTGGGCCGTGCTCTTGGGCGTTCTGGAACGTCTGGTGGTCTGGTGGTATGGCGGTCTGATGATCTGGTGGTCTGGTGGTCTGGTGGTCTGGTGGTCTGGTGGTCTGGCGGTCTGGTGGTCTGGCGGTCTGGTGATCTGGTGGTCTGGTGGTCTGGTGGTCTGATGGTCTGGTGGTATGGTGGTCTGGCGGTCTGGTGGTCTTGCGGTCTGGTGGTCTGGCGGTCTGGCGGTCTGGCGGTCTGGCGGTCTGGCGGTCTGGTGGTCTGGCGGTCTGGTGGTCTGGTGGTCTGGTGGTCTGGTGGTCTGGCGGTCTGGTGGTCTGGTGGTCTGGCGTCGTCGGGCAAACGGCGACGCAAGCGCGAGCAAATGCAGGCCAGCCCAAGAAGTTGGGGGAAATAGCGTACCAATCTAGTGATTGGTACGCTATTTCCCCTCTTAGGTTTGGGGGCAGCCCGCTACTGGCTTAGGGGCTTATACGTCATGTGTGTCAACATAGTTGATAATGGCGCAGTGTTTTTTATCAATGGTTTTGATAAAGCATGTGTGGTTTTATCTATGTAATTGGTAATGTGATTGTAGTGGTGGGTTGTTTATCAATGTGTTGTATAATTGCACGTTAGTGTTATCAATGTGTTTGAAAATGGCATGTGTGACATTATCAATATGTTTGCTAATTCGGTTGTCTGGTGTTTGATAGTGTGTTTGATACTTGTGTTGCTATGCGCGCATGGTTATCAATGTGTTTGATAATTCGGCTGGTTGGTTGAACGGGTTATCGATGTGTTTGATAATGTGTGTTGCTATGTGCGCATGGTTATCAATGAGTTTGAAAATTCGGCTGTTTGGTTGAACTGACTATCAATATGTTTGCTAATGGATGTTGCGGTATTGTCAATGTGTTTGATAATTGGCGGGCTGAGCGCATTTATCAATGCGTTCGATAATGTAGTCGTGGGGGCTTGGCTGCAACGCTCATTGTGTTATCAATGCGTTTGATAACTTCGTGGTCTGGCGAGGGCATTATCAACCAGTTTGAAAAAAAGCCGAGGGCTACATGTTCAACCTCATTGAACATGTGTCCAGTCGGCGCCCCTGTTTGTTCAATGCGTTTGATATGCAATGTCGCCCACAAGGGGCGCGAAGATAATCGCGGTTCGCGCTTCGCGATCTGGGCTGGAGAGTTGCCATTCTACATCGGGGTTGGGGGGGGCGCGAGGGCGCGAAGATTCTTGCGCTTCGCGCAGCGCGAAGCGCGAAGCTATGCGACCTTAATAATGCATGCTGTGCTCGGTGACGTTCGGCGCTGGCGAGGCGCCCTCGAGGGCTCAGTTGGCATCTGGCAGAAGCCGTTGTGGCTCGGAAGGCTACCAGCTGCTGCGACCGAGGGTTGCAACTTAGACCCTAGAGTTGCCAGCGGGCTCGCGCCCGCCCGCTCAGGGCGCGATGGCGATGACGACCATCGTGCCGCACAACAGGAGCCGGCAATGCCACGACGACGATGATGATGTCATGTGGGGCGATGGCTACCCTCACGTTCGCGTGCGTTGGCCTGACCTTGTGGGGATCACGGTGCAGCAGAGGGCGCCCCAGCTGCACTGCGTGACGGAGTCCACCTGGATCCCCGCAGCCGTGGAGACAGTGGACGGCTTGGTGTGGACATGCGATAGGAGCCCGTTCAACAAAAGAGGTGACGCAGCCAGCGTGCAGTCTCGCAAGCGCTCGGTCGAGAAAGCTGGCATCCTCAACATTCGCGCTGGGTCCTGGGTTGTGCCGAGGGACGAGATCGACATCACTGTGTACGCGGATAGGGCTTCCAAGACCACGAAGACTGTCACGCTCCAGCGCTACAATTTGCTCCACTGGGCCACGCCCTACGAGGGCTTGCAGGCCGCCGTGAATGACGAAGGCAACGCTGGCAATTCAGTCGTGGAGGCGTCGTTGCGAGATGGCCTCCAGAATTGCAAAGTGTTCCACAAGCGAACCCCCGCGTACGTGCAGGAGTACTTCGTCGACGTTGGCAACGAGACGAACGACGAGCAGAGTTCGCGGACTGCCCTCCAGGTGCTGATGCCCCATGACAGCGTCGAGTCGACCTTCTTCCAGAAGAAGAAGCTGTACGAGTGGTCAGTGGCAAGCTTGGGCCAGCGGCAATACGCAGAGAAGAGGTTCGAGGTCGCTGAGAGCATGTTCGTTAACCGTTGGCGTTCGAGCCACCAGTATGATCAGAGCCTCAGCGCGCACAAAGAAGCAGAACATAAAGACAACGTGCTGCCCTCGGGCAAGAGAGTCTGGGACGCCGTGTGGGAGCAGAGCCAGGCCAGCGTTGATTGGATGCACCCATCGATCAACGGCAAGCACTGGAAGGTCATCGACAAGTTCGTCCATTGCATGAAGCTCGTGAAGAAAGGCTTCCCTGGCTACGCCGTGGACTTGTTCCTGCTGTCGTTGCCCCGCATTCCGACCGCGGTCGTGGGGGTCTCAACCTTCTTCCCGCAGGGCCTGGACACCAGCAAGTTGCATTGCACGTCGAGAATCTCTTGTTGCCCATGGAAGGGGGTGCGGCGCTGAAGGATGTCGAGGCAGCGAGGGTGGAGGCTAGCGCCAAGAAGAAGGCGCACAAGAGGCGTCGGACCGTTGCTCTCGAGGAAGGGCCTGGCCTGGACTCGGCCAGGACCACGGCGTGGCTGGACGACTTGACTAATTTCTTGGACTACTGCCCCTCTAAGCTCAGGTGCGATGCAGACGCGATCAACAGCATGAAGTATATTTCAATGTGTGCGACTTCCACTGGCTCCGTACGCCTCTACTCTCAGCCCAACGGCCAGAAACAGACCGTCATCACCAAGTGGAGCACTCTGAGAAAGATAATGAAGAAGGATGCTTATCGGCGATCCCAGCTTCAGCCGAGGCCGACGGACCCTGACTTCAACGTGGGCGAGACTTTGGACGCCGCGCCGATTCAGGACGACGTTCACGTCCCCCCCGAGGACATGATCTCCGACTACTTGCCTGTCGTTGGGGGCATCGTGGCGCACTTGAAGAAACACCCGCCCGATGACGAGGAGTCCTGGAAGACCATGGTCTCCCAGGGAGTCGGGGCCGTGGTGATGAGTAGCATGGCCAAGATCTACAGCGATAAGGACTGCAGCCCTGGGGCTGCTTCGAAGTACGTGGTGGAAGCGGCCGCAGACTTCGCGCTCACGCTACTTCCCTTCAATGTCGACGTAGACTTCGAGAAGCTGCTGCGAGCGATCAAGGACATGAAGTCGGATGTTCCCGAAGCGTGCCAGCAGCTCGTGATTTTCCAAGAGAAGGGCTTTCTCAAACCCAAGTCCATGCGATGGAATCTCGCGATTCGCGTGGTGTGCGAGATGGGCCAGGTCAGAACTCCCAGCGGGGCCCAGGTCATCGGCAATGAGGTAATACAGGTGCTCGAAGTGTGCAAGGACTCGTTCAAGTTCTGCAGTGGTGCGCAGGATGAAGAGCCCTGGGTGGTTGGGACCGAAGCAACCTACAACCTGACGTTCCACGATGCCCTCGACAAGCTCTACGGCGCAGTTCTGACGTTCGTGGCCCACGACACCGCGGCCCTCGAGAACGACGCGGCGGCTTTCAAGGAGAGGATCTGCAAGATGAAGGGCAAGGACCTCGGCGCCATGTGCAAGCAGGAGAAGTGCAACTTCTCCAGCACCGTCTCCAGCACCAACGCCTGCGCCTACGCCGGCACCAACGCCGACGCCCACAGCAGCCCCGACGCCATCACCGACGCCAGCACCAAAGCGGGCGCCTTGGCCAGCACCAACGCCAACGCCTACTCAGGCACCAACACTTGCGCGTACACCAGCACCGACTCCAGGACGAAGGCTTACGCCGACGCAAGCGCCTACCATGGCGCCTGCACCAGCAACGACGTCAGAACCAACGCCTGCGCCTACGCCAGCACGAACACCGTCGCCAACACCGACGTCAGCACCAACGCTAGCGCCTACGCCAGCACGAACACCGTCGCCAACTCCGACGTCAGCACCAACGCCAGCGCCTACGCCAGCACCAACGCCAGCGCCATCTCGAGCACTGGCGCCTGCGCCAATCTTGGCGCCTACGCCAGCACCACCGCCAGCGACTTCCCCATCGACGTCAGCACCGACGTCAACATTCACACCGGCGCCTACGCTGCCACCAATGCCATCGCCTACACCAGCACTGACGCCAGCATCAACTTCTGGGCCTGCGCTGTCACCGACGCCAGCGCCCATGCCAGCACCACCGCCAGCGACTTCCCCATCGACGTCAGCACCGATGTCGATATTCACGCCTGCGCCCACGCTGCCATCAGTACCATCGGACGGCGTCGGAGCCTGCCTGCCTTCACGCCTGGGGCCTGCCCGCCGTTCGCCTGCGCCGCACGCCTCGGACGGCGACGTCGCCGCGCGGGGGCCGCTGCCTGGCCCATCTCGGTGGTGCACGCGGACCTGTGCCCCGGCCGACTTCAACCTGATGGCGCCCGACATCCCGCGCCTGGGCGCACGCGCTGTGTCAGCCCCGCCAAGCCCAGAGGCGACGCGCACGTCGCCGGCGGAGCTGTACTTCCACTCCCACCTCCGCAGCTGCGCCGCCAGCGCTTCAGGGGCCTCTTGCACGGCGGCTAGCCCCCTCGGCGACGCCATGCCCCTGGCTGCATGGCCGGAGGCGCCGGCGGCGGTCGCGATCCCGCTGAAGAAGATCTACCGCATGTTTTGGCCGGTCCTTTCGATGGCGATCGACGGCGCTTACTGTCTCGTGCACCCTTTGCCTGGACTGCTCGTCGCCGCTCTCGGGTGGGCCTCTCATGCGTTCGCCAGCGCGTGCTTGGCCGAGTCCTTTCACGCCACCCTGGGCCAGACGATCCCCCGCGCGGTCGACCCAGCCTTGGTCTTGGCGGCCTCCTGCGCGTCTGCAGTCCCAGTGAAATTATTGGCCTTCGGGGCGGCGGTGCACGGGGCTCCTCTGCAGCGCGTCCTGGCCGGAGTTTGCGGCGCCGCCCTACTTGGCGATGTCCATTTTCCACGGGTTGTGTGCATTTCCATCGCGGCAATTATGACAGTTGCATTGGGCCCAGGATGGTATTCCACACATTTGTCTTCGCCAGCGGCATGGGTAGGACACGTTGCCTTGCTCGTCCACGCCGCGCAGTCCCCAGCTTTCCCCGCAGGCCCCAATGCCGACGTGTGCGACACGTGCCTCTTCGAGCGCCAGCGCTGCATCTGCCGCCGAGGAGCAGGGAATCGAACAGGACCTTCGGAGCGCGACCGCTCCACCTCGCCTCGACGAGTGGCGCCGCCGCCCGGGTCGGCAAGTGCATCGAGTGCGGGCCCCGCGCAGATGGAGACGGAGGCCGCGGTGTCGGTCAGGAACACCTTCGTGGAGGTCGGCGCCCGTGCTTCTCCGGGACGCCGCGCGCTCAGACGCAACCGCACGGAAGGCGATGAGCCCGGCGACGACCCCCTCCTCCACGAGCGAATCAACAGCATGCGCCTGGACGACACGCGAGACATGGACCAGGATGCGTGCGTGCCGCTGGCCGAGCAACGTCGGCGAGCAGCGCTGGAAGGAGCTGCCCCCTCGGGCGCCCAGCAGCCTCTGGCCATGCCGGCAGAGGGGGGGCCCCGGCACGCTGCGGAGCCAGCCGTTGCTGCCGCGCCGCCGCCGGCCGCGGAGCCGCCGCAGCCAGCCCCCGCCGCGCCCCGCCCTGCAGCCCGACGGCGGCCCCGCGTCTACTGCCCAGTGCCCGGTTGCCCGCGCGCGGATCCTGCCGCCTCGCCAGGGTGGCCAGGAGAGCATGAGGGTCCACTTAAACGAGCGCGCGGCGGGCCGTTACCCCAACCTGCCGCCCGCCCCGCAGGAGTTCCTTGACCAGCACGCCCTCGGCCAATGCTCGGTGTGTCAGCGGTTCCTGAGTCTGCGCTACCAGGGAGTGTGCCCCAGGTGCCGGCCAGCGGCGCGCGCAGCTGCCGCCGCGGTCCCCCAGGCCCTTCCGGCCGACGCTGGCGGCGCGAACGGCCAGCCAGGGCTCCCTTCGCTGAGGGTGGTCTTCTCCAGCCGCGCCGGCACGAGGCGCCACGTGCCCACGTTTGCCAGGGCGTTGTGGGCACAGTGCTTGGTGCAGGCCGTGGCGTTGGCGGTCCACCACAACACCGAAGCAGCTTGGGCCCAACTGGCCATGCTGCCCAAGTGCGTGCTGCGACCGCACAGCCGCGGAGGCCGAGGCAGCCGGAACGCCAGCGAGGAGGAAACCAAGAACCTCTGCCGCCGCTGGCTGGAGGGAGAGCGCCAGACGCTGTGGACGGAGACGACAGAGCGGCGCCAGACAGGGGGAACGGACAAGGCGACTCACCGAGCACAGCGCTGCCTCGACTTGGCTTCGGAGGGGCTTTACTCGAAAAGCTGCGCTTCGCTGACGTCGGAGCCGCCCGTGTCCGTCACGCCGGCTGTCGTGGACCAGATGGGCCGCAAACACCCCCGCAGCCAGCAGCCGGTTGTGGACCTGGCTAGCCTGCCTGCTGTCCACGCGGCCGCCGCAGCCCAGGTCGACGTCTCTGTCGTCCAAAAGGAAGTGCGGGCCTTCCCCAAGGGCTCGGCCGCCGGCCCCACTGGCCTGCGCCCGCAACACCTGCAGGACGCCCTGGCGACGGCAGCCCACAGGGACGAGGTAGTCGAGCAGCTCGCTGGCCTCGTCAACGTGCTCGCGCGCGGCCAGGCTCCGGCGGCGGTCGCGGCTTACTTTGCTGGCGCCTCGCTGGTGGCTCTCCCGAAGAACGACGGCGGCCTCCGCCCGGTGGCCGTCGGCGAGACACTTCGCCGCCTGGTGGGCAAGTGCCTCTGCAAGGAGGTCGCCGGGGCAGCCCGCGACCGCCTTGCGCCCTTGCAGGTGGGCGTGGCCGTCCCGGGAGGCGCCGAGGCGGCGATCCACGTGGCCAGGCAGTGGTTCACGCGCAACCTGGGCGACAGGGACAAAGTTTCGTGAAGTTGGACCTCTCGAGCGCTTTCAACACCCTGGACCGGAGGGCCGTCCTCAGAGCAGTGCGCGAGGACGTTCCCGCACTGGCACCTTGGGCGGACTGGTGCTACGGCAGCCCCTCGCTACTCTTCCTCGGCAAGCAGACGCTGCGCTCCGAGTGCGGCGCCCAGCAGGGCGACCCGCTTGGCCCGCTGCTCTTCCCCCTGGCACTCCAACGCTGCGCGGAGACGGCGAGCCGCAGCCTCAGGGAGCTTGCCCAGGACGCCGGCCTGGACCTCGTCTTTTTCTACCTGGACGACGGCTGCGTGGCGGGTGACAGACAGGCTGTGGCGCGCTTCCTCCACCTCGTCGTGGCCGAGCTCGCAGCAGTCGGCCTCAGCCTCAGCATGGGCCGGGCAAGTGCGAGGTGGTCCCTTCAGCGGGGGCGGGCAGCAACACGTCCGCGGCGGATTTCCCACCGGGCTTCCGACTGCGCCCCGACAGCTGCTTTGAGCTCCTCGGCGCGCCCATCGGGAGCGACGATTTCTGCCTCCAGCACACGCAGAAAAGAGTGAAGAAGGCAGCGGAGCTCCTGGGCGCACTGGCCGGCTTGGAGGACGCGCAGGTAGCCCTTCACCTTCTCCGGCAGTGCGCCTCCTACTGCAAGCTCGGCTACTCGGCGCGCGTGGTGCCGCCCTCCGCCCACACCGAGGCTCTCCTGGAGATGGACGCTGCAGTGCGCTCCTGCCTGGAACAGCTGGCCGGCGCTTCCCTCACGACTCCTGGGCCCAAGCGCAGCTGAAATTGAACAAGGGCGGCTTGGGGCTGCGCTCCGCTGAGAAGCACTCGCCGGCGGCCTACTTGTCCTCGCGCGCCAAGAGCAGCGAGCTCTGCCGGTCCATGTACGCGGGCTACACAGACGACGACGCGGGCGACGCCGGGGCCCTGGCGGCGGCGCTCCAGACCCACAACGCAAGCGTGGCGGGGGCAAACCAGGCTGCGCGCTTCGACTGCGAGACGCACTCCAACCAGAAGACTCTCTCGGGCCAGGTCGACGACGCCGCGCGCGCCGCCCTCTGGGGCCGCTCCTCGGCCGCGACGCGCGCCCGCCTCGCCCTGGTGGCCGCGCCCGGCGCCGGCGCGCACCTGCAGGCGCCCCCCAGCGAGGCGCTCGGCACAGCGGTCCCGCACAGCTTGATGCAGATCGGGATCAAGCGTCGGCTCCGGGTCCAGCTGATGGACGAGGAAGCGTTCTGCCCAGCGCGCGGGGAAGTCATGGACGTGCACTGCGACCACGCCTTGACGCGCGCCTGCCAGGGCGACCGCACGCGCCGCCACAACAAGCTGCGGAACGGCACCTTCTTTGCCGCCCAGGCCGCTGGCTTCTCGCTGGGCGCGTCACGTCGGTTAGCAACTGCATAGGCCAGATAGCAAGTGGTTGAGCGTGTTAGCAAGCAGTTACTCCACCACTTAGTGAGGCGGTTACTAAGTCGGTTGTGGAGTAGTTAGCAAGTGCGTGCTAACTCGGTTAGCTAACTGGCCTAGGCAGTTAGCTGCGGTTAGCTAACCCACTTAGCTAAGTGGGCTAAGTGGGTTAGCAGCGGAAACCAAGAGTCTCCAGGACGGGGGGCGAGAGGGGAAGTGGAGGAGGAGGAGAAGGAGGAAGAGGGGTGGGAGGAGGAGGAGGAGGAGGAGCA